TTTTTTTTTTTTTTTTATGCTTCTCCCTTTTTCACATCTGGGAAGGGGCAGGTCTCTTCCATGAGCTCTTGTCCCTCCATCACTGATCTTGTGTGTGAGAGTTCAGAGAAGACAGATCTCTTCCCCAGTGCAGGCCTCTCCCTTAGCCTAACGAAGGCTCACCTCGTTGGAGAGCATAACACGTGCTAGGCCCTTGGCACACAATACGTCACTGAATGATCTTAGCAACCCCTGAGGTGGGTTCTATTTTATTTGTCCTTCACATGCTGGGAAATGAAGGTGGAGAGAGCTTAAACGACTTGCCCAAGGCTACTCATCTTAGAAGGAGAACTCAGATTTAAATCTAGACAGTCTGATTCTAGACTTTGTCCTCTTAAACCCTACACAATGCTGCTGCTTTACACATGAGTATAGGGAGTGCTGATGCACAAAACACATTGATATCTGCGAAGAGTGAAAAGTTTGACTTCTTTCTTGCTGATTTGGATGCCTTTTATTTCTTTTTGTTGTGTGATTGCTGGGTCGAGGACTTCCAGTACTATGTTGAACAACAGTGGTGAGAGTGGACATCCCTGCCATGTCATCCAAAATCTGTGAAGAGCTAACCAAACTCAACACCCAAAAAACAAATAATCCAGTGAAGAAATGGGCAGAAGACATGAATAGACACTTTTCCAAAGAAGACATCCAGATGGCTAACAGACACATGAAAAGATGCTCAACATCACTCATCATCAGGGAAATACAAGTCAAAACCACAGTGAGATAACACCTCACACCTGTCCAAATGACTCAAAGTAACAACTCAGGAAACAACAGATGTTGGCAAGGATGCAGAGAAAAGGGAACCTTTTTGCACTGTTGGTGGGCATGAAAACTGGTGCAGCCACTCTGGAAAACAGTATCAAGGTTCCTCAAAAAAATAAAAAATTCTAACCTATGACCCAGCAATTGCACTACTAAGTATTTATCCAAAGGATACAAAGATGCGTATTCGAAGCCTACCAACAATAGCCAAGTTATGGAAAGAGGCCAAATGTCCATTGACTGATGAATGGATAAAGAAGATCACACACACACACACACACACACACACGCACACACACGCACACACACACACACACACCCATATATACTCAATGGAATATTACTTGGCAATCAAAAAGAATGAAATCTTGCCATTTGCAACAACGTGGATGGAACAAGAGTGTAGTATGATAAGTGAAACAAGTCAGGCAGAGAAAGACAGATATATTTCACTCACGTGGAATTTGAGAAGCACAACAGATGAACATAGGGGAAGGAAAGGAAAAATAAGATAAAAACAGAGAGGGAGGCAAACCATAAGAGACTCTTAAATACAGGAAACAAGCTGACGGTTGTGGAGGGGAGGTGGGTGATGGGATGGGCTTAATGGGCAAGGGGCATTAAGAAGAACACTTGTTGGGATGAGCACTGGGTGTCATATGTAAGAGATGAATCAGTGGGTTCTACTCCTGAAGCCAAGACTACACTTTGTGTTAACTAACTTGAATGTAACTTACACACACAC